AAAAGAAAAATAAAGAAAAGGAGCGTGGCAACGAGAAATCTAACTATAGTATGTAAAAACAAATAATCATCTCCATTAAATTTTTATATGAATATAAAAACAAAAGCATTTTATCAACACAAATCTATTAGTGTGATGAAATACTCTTATGATAAAAATATTTCCATTATTTTTATAAATTAAATTTTAATTGATAGGTAACATATAAAATTTATTCCTTTCCTTTTACCTATAAAACTGTATAAGTAAAAATGACGTGTTACTTTTTTTAGTAATTCAAAGGAAGAAAAAAAAACTGATGGATGTCATATGATGTAAAATATTAAAATCAACGTTTTTTTTCAACTTACACATGGTTATTTTTTTTACTTCTTTTGTACAAGTTGTTATTGCAGTTTCAAAAGAGTAAAATATATAATTCACTCATATCATTTAAATTTATTATCCTAATGTAGGATTTGTGAGCTGGAAAATAGTCTTGTATCGAATGTTTATGAAAGTATTTATAATCTATATAGAATCTAAAGCTTTTGATGCGTAGTTACTGAAGTCTGTAATAGAGTTAGAGGGGGGGGGGGCGGCTCTCTGTAATGTTCTCTTTCTTCGTTGCTAGGTATCTGTAATGGGGAAAGAGAAGCCACTAAAACTTGAACTAACTATTTTCTTCGAAAATATATGTGAGTTTCACAAAGAAACATACTTGACAAGATTCTCTGATGAAGATCTCAGAAGAAGAGATGTCATAGAAGATCGAAATCTTCGAAATTGTAAACAGGACGAAAAAAAAAACTGCTATTGTTCAATATTTTGTGGAAGATCATATTCGTCTTATCGATAATAGATATTTGCGATTTTCGTTCTTTTGAAACTAGGGATGTCAATTTATATTTACTTTTCATTTAATGTACACATAAATGAAATAAAAGGTAAATATAAATTGACATCTAAATACCAATACAAGTAAACTATAGATGGTGAAAGTTTAGTAAAGTAGTCATAAATTATTTTCAAGACCTTACATTTGACTTTTGCTTTTTGAGATGCATTTGAAATGAAAGTATCAGCTGAAAATAACTAATTCATGTGACTATCGAATACAATTTTGTCATTTATTGTTCGAATATTCGTTATAAGTCGTATTAGAACTATTGATGGTCGAAGTTATAGAAAGCTAAAAAAAGAAAATGAAGTAATTAACGGAACATATGATTAATCGTTACCAAGGGGAAAACAGCAGAGACTTCAGTCGTGAAGTCCCATGAAATCTTGAAAGTCTTTCGAAGTCTTCTGAAGTCTCTTTGAAGTCTTATGAATTCTCATGAATTCTCATAAAGTCTCTTGAAGTCTCTGAAGTCTCATAAAGTCTTCTGAAGTCTCATAAAGTCTAATGAAGTCTCATAAAGTCTAATGAAGTCTCATGAAGTCTCATGAAGTCTAATGAAGTCTCATGAAGTCTAATGAAGTCTCATGAAGTCTCTTGAAGTCTCTTGAATTCTAATGCAGTATCATGAAGTCTTATGAAGTCTCCTGAAGTCTCCTGAAGTCTCTTGAAGTCTCTTGAAGTCTCTTGAAGTCTTTTGAAGTCTTTTGAAGTCTCATGGAAGTTTTGAAATACATTTAGTGCATGAAAATTCATAAAAAAGCAATGAAATTGTCTTATTTTCGACGGTCTTATTTTAGCAGAAAGGTGAACTTTTTATTGTTTGTTTGTCAAGGTACTGGAAAAAAATTCAAGTTTGTTGGATCTTAGAAAACATGATAGTTAAGAACTGAATGCTTTGTGAATGAAGTGGTTTATTTTTATAAGAAATGTTTCATTTATTCGATGTCAATCTTATGAAGAATTTTATTCCTTTTTGTTTATTTCTATCACTCGTGATAATCTATCAGCCGATAAACGGCTAGCTTCGTCGGTCAATAACCAACAAGTCGTTTGCTTGTGTATAAATTTAGTCTTGTTATTTATTTGCACCTGAAAATAGGAGTTTTCCAATGCTGGATTAATCGAATCAAACATACGCATACCAGTAAAGTTTATTTTCTCTGTTTTAATTTCATCAACGCTTTGTGTCATTGTCACATCTTTATTCTAGATATGGATATACTGCGAGAAACAATTCTCAGAAACAAGAAACACTTTTGTAATCTCTATATGATAAGTTTTGTTTTTTGCATGTTATAGAAATCTCATGTAATTTCTATAAGGTTTTTTGATACGCATGGAATCTGCCTCTTGAAGTCCTGTGAAGTCTTGTGAAGTCTTGTGAAGTCTCATGAAGTCTCATGAAGTCTCATGAAGTCTAATGAAGTCTCATGAAGTCTCTTGAATTCTAATGAAGTCTCATGAAGTCTCATGAAGTCTCTTGAAGTTTCTTGAAGTCTCTTGAAGTCTCTTGAAGTCTCATGAAGTCTCATGAAGTCTCTTGAAATCTCATGAAGTCTCTTGAAGTTTTATGAAGTCTTGTGAAGTCTTATGAAGTCTTATAAAGTCTCAAGAAGTCCTACAAAGTCTCTGAAGTCTCATGAAATCCGTAAAGTCTCATGAAGTCCGTGAAGTCTCACGAAGTCTGTGAAGTCTAACGAAGTCTTTTGAAGTCCCATGAAGTCTCATGAAGTCTTATGAAGTCATACGAAGTCTTATAAAGTCTTGTGAAGTCATTTGGAGTCCTATGAAGTCTTCAGAACTCTTTAGAACTCTTTTGAAGTCTTGTGAAAATATGAAGTCACTGCGGTTGAAGTCTGTTGAAGTCTTTTGAAGTCTTGAAGTCTTGAAGTCCGCTGTTTCCCCCTTGATCGTTACTCCATATTTTATGTCCGACAGATCCATTGTGTTTTGTAAAAATCAGTTCATAATTTAGATAATAATTTTACGCATAGTTCTATATCCTATTAGTATTTGTTTTTTTTTGTTTCTAGAAAGAACTTGATTTACAAGGAGAAAGTTTACTTCAGTTCTATACAACTAATTGGGAACATTATCGATTTTCAAGTAAAGTAACAAATCATTTTTGTAGCTTTCTAAATCGACATTGGGTGCGACAACAATATGATTCAGGAAGAAGAGATGTTTATGAAATTTTTACTGTAAGTTAATTTGATTATATATTTTAATTTTGAATGTGATTAGAAGTTAAATATAAATTTAGATGGCTATGAAAATATGGCATTTAGTCTTTTTGCAACCATTGAATGAACGAATTACTAAAGCATGCCTTCAATTAATCAAATCTGAACGTGAAAATAATCTATTTGATACTCAATGGATCAAAAAAGTCATAGAAAGTTATGGTAAAATTTAAACAAAAAAAATCCTTTTCCATTTTTTTTGAAAATTATTTAAAAAAATTTTAGTTGAACTTGGTTTTATCGAGAGCTCATCTGTACCAAATAATAGTCATCAAAGAACATCTGAAGCATTGACGATTTATAAACATTATTTTGAAGACCCATTTCTTCAAGAAACTGAACGATTTTATCGACTCAAAGCTGATACTTTTGTTGATAATTCTATTATTGAATATTTAAAAAAGGTTTTCTTTTGTTTATATACATATATATGCAAATTATGAAATATTTAACAAAATACTAATAATAGGTAGCTCAGCTTTGTGATGAAGAAGTACATCGTGTACATTCATATTTACATCCATCAACATTAGAACCATTAATTAAAAAATTTGGAGGAGTATTTATTTGTGATCAACTTGAAGCAATATATGCTGAAGCCAAATTATTATTATTAGATGCCGAAAAATATTCAGGTAAATAAAGAAAAAACAAAAGTTAACTTTTGTTATCAAAGAATTCATTTAATTTATTTATTTTTTATTAGATTTGGCATTATTATTCAAAGTAGTTAGTCGAGTACCGAATGCAACTATTCAATTACAAAAAATTGTTGAAGATCATATTCGTCAAAGAGGTATTGATGCTATTGAACGTATCCATGGTGCTGCAATTAATGTAAAAAGAATTTTTCTTTTTCTTTCATTCTAATTTATTTATTTAATTGATTAGGATCCAGAACTTTATGTTGAAACTATTCTTGAAGTTCATACCAAGTTTTCTAAACTTGCGCAAGAAATTTTTATTCGTGAACAAGGTTTTACAACTGCTCTCAATAATGTAAGTTAAATTTTCTATTCTAATTTATTTCTATGTAATACATACTGTACTTATAATTCTTTCTAAAAGTATAGTATGTTGTTATTAAAAAGAATAAATATACAGTCTGAATCAGCTGTCATAATTACAAAGAAAACGTATTTTGAACTTATTTTCTTTTCAATTAATTTCTATTCTTTCTCATACATACTTCAAAATGAAATATGAAAACACTTTTAACAATCATTTATAGCTAAAATCGAAAAGTTTTAAGCACTTAATGTCAATAGTATCAATAATTATGCGGTATAATTATGTTTTAGGCTTGTTGTAAATTTATTAATAATAATGCAGTAACAAGAGCTGCTGGTAATACAACAAAATCTTCTGAATTATTAGCGGGTTATTGTGATGCACTTTTACGAAAAGGGTTTGTTCAAAATTTATTTCACGTATAATCGATGAAAAATTGTTTGTTGTTTATAGAAGTAAAGCTGTAGAAGAAACAGATCTGGAAGAAACATTCAATCAGATCATAGTATTACTTTCTAATCTATTATGTTTTATTTTTCTTGTTTTTTTTTTACTCTAGGTGGTATTCAATTATATTGAAGATAAAGATGCTTTTGAAAAATTTTACAAAAAATTGTTAGCGAAACGTTTATTTGGTCAGTTAAGTGCATCTGATGATTATGAAAAATCAATGATTTCTAAACTAAAAGTAAATATAATATATTCTTGACAAAAAATAAAATCTATATTGAATAAAAATTTTAGCAAGCATATGGTTTTGTATATACATCAAAATTACGACGAATGTTTCAAGATATTACTGATAGTAAAAATTTAATTGATCAATATCGAACATATTGTGAAAAAAATAAACTTGATAATATTGGTATTTGAATTTTATTCTCAAATTTTAATTTTTATATGATGATTGTTGTTTTATTTTTTTTTTTCATGTAGTTGATTTTTCTGTAAGGATTCTCAGTTCAAATTCATGGTCATTTTCTGCACCACCAAATTTTGTTCTACCAGTTGAAGTAAGAGTTATTTTTATTATCATCATTGATGTGTTATTAAATATTTGGTTTTTTTTTAACTTAAAAAAACATTTGATAATTTTACTCAATTCTATACTCAACAACATAATGATCGTAAGCTAACATGGCTTCATCAACATTCCAAAGGAGAGTTACAAATGTTATATACGGAACCAAGATATATTTTACATGTATGTATTGATTTAGTCTATGATTTGATTTTTATTTTAATTATTAAAGGTATCAACATATCAAATGGTAGTTTTACTTTTATTTAATAAATTCCCAAGTTGGACAGTTAAAAGAATGCAAGATGAAACTCAAATCAAAGTTGATTTATTTTTACAAGTTCTTTGTGGTTTATTGAAAAATAAATTACTAAAATGTGCAGAAATTAATGATGATGATCGTAAAGATTTGAAAGAGACTGATATTAAAATGAATTATAATATTGAAATAGCTGTTAATTATAAAAGGTTAGTATATTTTATTAGTCATTTGATTAGAAGTTTAAAGAAAAAAACAAATTTTTTTCAAGAATACTGTCACTTAAATGATACAAGGTTATTCTCGATTTAATAATAAACAATGAGCCAGTTGATAAAACATTTGAATAATAGTTGCAGAATATGATCAGGATAAATGTCACATGAGAATGATCAATTAGAAAACATTGAGAGAGAAAATCGAACAATTAAATTTATAATAATTCATGAAAACAATAAAATTTATAACAAAACTATAGAAAGAAATTCAGTAGTAGTTAACAACGTTAGAGGAAATTCTATTTTGGTTTTATAACAGATTATAATATCATTATATACGAATACAGGGTGTTTCATAAGTTTCAACTCCCTTTTTATTTTTTTTTCTATTTTTGTTGTATTCAATTGTGGAGAGATATTGAATAGATATTTTTGAAGAACAGCACCTAAGCTATCAATCTACAACAATTGGATTCAATTTTCAGGAATCTTAAGAAAGAACGACATCGATAAAAATTTTTAAAAAGTTTTGTTAAATGCATTTTTTACTTTTTGTCTATTAGAGTTTTAAAAAAATAGCAGCTACTTACTCGTTTCCTAACTTGCGAGTCATTTTTGTCATCCTTTTCCTATGATACGATATGTTTGTAGTTGCATGTATATTTTAGACAACAGTACTATAATATTATAACTAAAGAAGACATGTCTCAATACCAGTACCGTCAATGCCAATATCGTTTAGTATTGATTGGTATTGATATTGAATAGTATTGACTGGCAATTCGTATTAATTGGTGTTAGTATCAACGTTATCTAATACTAATACTAGTCAATACCGCTCAATATCAATACTAAATGATATTGACATTGACGGTACTGGTATTGAGACATGTCTTCTTTAGTTATAATATTATAGTACTGTTGTCTAAAATATACATGCAACTACAAACATATCGTATCATAGGAAAAGGATGACAAAAATGACTCGCAAGTTAGGAAACGAGTAAGTAGCTGCTATTTTTTTAAAACTCTAATAGACAAAAAGTAAAAAATGCATTTAACAAAACTTTTTAAAAATTTTTATCGACGTCGTTCTTTCTTAAGATTCCTGAAAATTGAATCCAATTGTTGTAGATTGATAGCTTAGGTGCTGTTCTTCAAAAATATCTATTCAATATCTCTCCACAATTGAATACAACAAAAATAGAAAAAAAATAAAAAGGGAGTTGAAACTTATGAAACACCCTGTAATATATACTGGATTCTTTCCTTCTATAGTTAACTTCAATAATTTTTACAAATTGACTGATAATATTTATACTATTGAATAACATTTATTACAATAGAATTCTTGAATTTTCTTTTAGTGAAAAAATAAAAATAAATTTAAATGTACCATTGAAGTTAGTCGAAAAAAAAGATATCGAAGGTGTACATCGAACAATTGATGATGATCGAAAAATGGTTATTCAAGCTGCCATTGTTCGAACAATGAAAGCTCGACAAAATTTAAAACATGAATTATTAATGCAAGAAGTAATTCAACAATTAAGTTCACGTTTTAAACCAGAAATACCTATGATTGAAGTAAATTGAAAGTTTTCTTATATTTTAAAAAGGAAAAATTTCATGGATAAATATTTATTTATTATAGGAATGTATTGATAGATTAATTGAAAAAGAATATCTTGAACGTCAATCAAATGAAAAAGATGTGCTACGTTATTTGGCTTAAGATAAATAATTAAATAATTCATCTCACAAACATGTCAAAGATTTTTTTTTACTTTTATATATTATTATTTTTATGGAAAATCAAGAAAAATATTTTTGTTTCTAATTAAATAAAACTGGTTTTGTATAATTCTATTGAATCCAGAATTAAAACCTACTGTTATTTTATACTAGAATGAAAATTGTATACATCATTATTTTTTTCTGTCAATAACGAGAAAAGTTTAGAGCAATTGTATATTTGAATTTTCTTCTCAATGGTAATAGCTAAAAACAATCGAGGGAGTCATTTAAATGACTGAAAGAATTCTCTATAAGAAATAGTTGAATCAAAAGACCTATAGGTATTGTTTGGATAAGTGTGTCTGGAATAAGAAGACTTCTAAAATCAGTTTTATGGCTTTTACTAAAAGATTCTGTTTGATAGAGTAAATAATGCAGAGCAAAATAAAAGGTCTGCAACCTCTTCATCAACTCACATTCAATTTTGTTGAGGTCTTGAAACGTCAAATATGACAACAACTTTGAAAGTAACAATAGAAACGAGAGAAAATATTTATTCGATCTTTCGTAAATTGAGTGTAGTTTGATTAAAAAAAACTTATGAAGAAGTTACAGACCTTTGATTTTGTTCAGAATAATTTACTCTATCAAATAAAACTGTTTAGTAAAATCTGTGAATGAAAGGCAGAAAACTAATTTCAAAGGTGTTGTTATTTCAGACAACGTCTTTAGGTTTTTTGGACTCATTGATTCTAATAAAGAATTCTTTCAACAATTCTAATGTCGTTTCAGATTCTGTCTTGTTATTACCATCAAGAATTAAACTGAAAAAAACAATATAACTTCTCTAAACTTTTTGTTCGCCACTATAAATGACCATATAATCTTTGTGTTTTTCTCTTGTCGATTTTCCATTTGTTTTTTTTTATCCATACAGTACATATTCTATGTTGGTTCAAAATTCATCCTCGTATAAGTTGCATTGATGGGTACCATCCACAAGCTAGCATAGAATTGTCTTATGAACGATTGTTCTTGGTTTGAAAGAGAGAGTGATGAAAAAGTTTATATAACATATGATTTTAAGAGAATGTTTGATGGATTATTTATTTTGCATTTTATGATGAGACCAATGTCATTGTATTGATTTCTGTCTCAATTTATCTGTTTCAATGCAAGTAGTGGTTTGTGTTTGAAAATTATTGATGAAGAGAATTTTTATGGAGTTAAGGAATATTTGTGTAAAAGTTTTGAATAGGAAAATACATGAGACTTGATTCAAATAATGTAGTAAGTTATGTTTATTGTAGAGTGTTTTCTTATATCAATAGATATTTATGTTTTAATGGAAATTTTCGATCTTAGTTTATTCGATGATCAGAGTGTGGGTGTGCAGGATATTAATACCCACACCCCACACCTACCCACCCACACCCCACACCCACACACGCACACCCCACCCACACCCCACACCCACATCCACACCCATCCATACCCACACCCACCCCCACCCCCACACCCTGCACCAGTTCCAGTAGCTGGATGTGGGTGAAGAGAATACAAACATCCATATCTACATTCTTATGCCTTCGTTTTTACCGTTAGTAACTTCAAACATTAAAACTATCGAAAAATGTGGATGGATATATCGAATAAATATGAATTTTTGTTGTAACTAGAATACAAATATTGATGTAATATTTAAAAAATAAATCTACCTGAATGAAATAACAAATGGTAAAAATAATTTGAAAGGAAAATTTTGATTTTATTGTTTTTTGTTCTTGAATTAGTTCTAAATGCTGCTGAACCTTATCTAACAATCGCACGAATTTATGAAGATCACAATGACCATGATAAAGCATTCGAAGTGAATGAATTGAATATTCTTTTTTTTTTTGAGGAGAAAGTTTTATCTTTTTTAATCAAGATGAATTTTGTTGCTGCTCATTGTTAACATTCAAAAGATTTATGGCTTTGAATGCTTGCAGAATGTCAACAACGAAAAGCTGATGATTTAATAACGACTTATTATAATCATAGTAAGTTGTTTTGTTAGAGCAAAGGGTGTGGGTATGGGTATGACTCTTTCTTGAATAAATACCCACACTCACACCCACACCTACCCTATAAACGTTTACCAATCTATTCCGAAAATGTTATTGAAATGTATAAAGAAAAAAAACGTGAACAAATGTCACCACATATATTTGCAATAACTGATGATGTATATCGCTTAATATTACAAAATCGTAAGGATCAATCAATTTTATGCACGTAAGATTTTAGAGAAAAGAAAAAGAAAAGCTTTGAACCTTCTATCTCTTTTATAGAGATGAGTCTGGTGCTGGTAAAACTGAAAACACAAAAGAAGAGTTATTCAGTATTTGGCTTATATTGCTGCTGCACCAAAAAGTTCACAACGGTAATTGGCGATTACACTGAATCAAAATCAAGTACAGACAAAACAAAATAATCATTTAATGAATTTTTTTTCAAGTTTTATTTGTGAAGGTGAACTTGAAGTTCAAATTGTACAAGTAAATACAATTCTGGAAGATAATAATAAAAACTTTTCTTTTTTTTTGTGTTAAAGCGTTTGGTAATGCAAAAACAGTTAAAAATGATAATTCATCACGATTTAGTAAATTTATTCGTATTAATTTTGATATATCGAATTTTATCACTGATGCGTCAATTGAAAGATATTCACTTGAAAAATCTCGTAAAATATATCAAGCTAAAGAAGAGCGAATATTTCATATATTTTATCATTTATTGCATGGTGCTAATACGAAAATGATTAGAAGATTTTAATCGTTATCGATGTTTAACACATGGTCATCTAACAATATCAAGTATTGATGATGGTGAAGAATTTTAAAGTACAGTTAAATCTATGCAAATAATGAATATATCAAATGATGATTAAAATTCAATATTTCGCACAATATCACCTGTTTTATAAATAGATAATATGCAATTTAAACAAGAACATAATAGTGATCAAGCAACATTATCTGATGATGCAATTACACAAAAAGTTTGTCATTTATTGGGTATTTCTGTAACACATTTTGTACGATCATTTTTAAAATCAAAACTTAAAGTTGGAAGAGATTTTTTTTACCAAAGTATAAACACAAGCTCAAGTAAGTTAAAAGATTAAGTTTGGTTTTTGTTTTGAAAACAAGAAGACAAAAAAAAATAATGAATTCATATAGTGGTTAGGACAGACATAGCTGAATGATTACGTTGTGTTGTCATATATTCGCAAAGTACTGCGTTCGAACTTCGACACAATCAATCATAGGAGTTTGTCTTGGATTGTTTGTCTGATAATATGCTGATTACATTGTGACATACAAGTTCCCTTGTGATTAATTTATGTATATGGCGAGCTCAAGAACTCTGTCTCAGGTATCGAGATCTTGAGTCTGTCGTTTGACATCAGTCCTTACGGCAAGGTAGCCGATAGGCAGAATTATTCTTTCTTCTATGTCTTTGAATGTTAAATCGGCCGTTTTCATTTTGAATCTTTCTATTCGCATTTATAAAGTTCTGAAGACTAAGAATCCGACTTTGGATTCCAACTTATACATATTCTTTTAAAATTAAAAAGAAATGTGAAATTTTTGAAAAGTTAAAAACTACTTCTAAGATACAGTCGAAAGTAATCCAAAAAAAATTTCAATCCAATCGGACAAAACCTAGAGAGAGATCGTAAACCAGTCCGATGAAGTCCTATAGAAAACCTTGTTTTCTCGAACATTTATCTTCTTATTTGAGGTACTCTATCTCTAGTCAAAAAAGCCTTTGAAGATCTTCTGAGACTCTCTTCATTTCATTAAAACTAATTTACCTCGAAGATATGTTCACTGTCTTTCGAAAGAGACAAAAAAAAATGACAAACAACATTGATCATGTTTGTTGTACATTTAATATTTGATTAAGTTGATTATGCTATTGAAATTATATCAAAAATAA